TTCTGCATGTGGGTGACAGTTGTATAGCTTGATCTGTTTGTGGGGCCCTTAGCAGTGGAACTTGGATCTATCTCTGGCACATGAGCCTCTTTTGGAACCACTTTCCTTTCTTAGGATGCCTCCCTCAGCCTTATTGCAGTGGGAAGTCCTCCTTCAACTCGTTATGCCATGCTTTGTTGACTCTGATGGAAGGCGTTACTGTTTCTGAGGAGTGGATGGGGGGGTAGGAAGGATGTAGGGGGAGGGAAAAGGAGGAGAGGAGGGAGGGGAAACTGTGGCTGATAGGTAAAAATAAATAAAAGAAAATTTAATTAAAAAATTGTTCTAGAATAAGTAGTTACTCATCTTGACATGTGACTCCCAGATATTACCAAAGCATTAGTAAATGATGATTAATCAATTATTCATTATCATTTTATGAGAAGCTGGTAAAATAAAAATGCTTCATAACTTTTATAGGAAATTGCAACTTTCGTATGTAGTTTTAAAATATATATCAGAAATATTTTTATTAATAATGGACATTTCACCAAAGTATTTCTCTCTACTCTAGAGGACTGACAGAGAACAAACAATATAGAACGTTTTATGGTAACTTTAGACTTCCCACACAGAGTGATTAAAGACTTAACCATGTTTACCCCTCAAAAACATAAAGACCTGAACTAATAAAATATGTAGTGTCTGTTGATAAAACACACACAATGGACATTTACTACTTTTTGTTTTGTTTTTCTGGACAGGCTTTCTCTGTGTAGCTTTGGAGACTGTCCTGGCATTCACTCTGTAGACCAGGATAGGATGGAACTCACATAGCTCCACCTCCCTCTGTCTCCTGAGTACTGGGATTAAAGATGTATGCTACCACTGCCAGGCTGACATTGACTACTTTTTATGTAACATCACAAAATAGCGAATACTTGACAGGAAGATGGCCTAGAAGTTAATTAGCACTTGCTGCAAATTCAAAGAACATGAGATTGATTACTCCTGGCATCCATGTCAGGTCACTTACAAGTGCCTGTGACACCAGCTGCAGAGATCTGACTCCTCTTCTGACCTCTTGAGTCACCCTTACTCACCCACAGAGAACCTACAAAAATATATATGGACATATAATAAAGTCTCTGTTATCATAGTTCATCTTGTTTCTCTCTGGTCATGTATACAAGGGAAACATCTGCATACTTGCCAGCATCTTATTTCATACTTATATGCAGCTGTGCTGGACCACCACAATGGAATGCAAGAGGCACATGTTTTCAATTTTCTAATAAACATGTGACAATTAAAATTTAGAGGTCCACTTAACATCAGCAATATTTTAACTTTGACACAGCTAAATATTACTATCATCGCCTGTCATCGGTAAGAAAACTGAGCTTAAAAACTATAAACTATCTCTGAAATCCTAGGTGCATTTTGTTTACTGTGACAAAAGAGCTCAAGTGACTAATGGCTCCAATACCAGATAGCAAATATCCCAGTCTCAAACAAGTAATTTCTACACTTTATTCTGGAGTGTCTGCCTGCATGTATGTATGTGTGTATGTGTGTGTGCCTAGTGCCTGCAAAGGTCAGAAGTGGTCACTGGATCGCAGCTGTAGTTACAGATGATTATGAGCCACCAGTTGGTGATGGGACCTGAACGCAAGGTCTTCTGCAGGAGTAGCAAATGCACTTAGCAACCGGGACACCTCTCCAGCCATTATAGTTCAATGATAATAGAAGGAGTAGAAAAATGCTTTCTTCGACTTCCTATTGATTTCTTACCCAATGGCCTTTATTCTACAAGGAAATGATTCATGAAGTAAACACATCCTTTGAGTTGAGAAATAAAGAGAAGTCTTGTAACCACACTGAATGGAAAAGTCATTTACACTAAAGCCTACAGACCATTTTAGATCCCTCAACTGGTAAATAAGTAAGGCCATTCCATCCATCTGGTTTCAGTTAACATGCACCCACTCCTTAAAATCATTTTTATTAGTTTCTGTGGCATTGCTCTTGTTTCCCCTAAACAGTGCACCTTCCTTTTCTGGCTCCCTGTCAGAATTGTCAGAATAAAAATGTACTGTTTTATTGTCTTGCTCTACCTAAATCTGTCTCAGCTTTTGTGATGGTTAGTGAGTGTCAACTTGTCAAAATCAATGAGAAAAAGAGGAAAGAAAAACACAAACTATAATGGATAACAAAAGATGGAAAAACACAAACCACACAGCAATAGTTGCACATACTGTGTATCTTTAGCTAAACAAATAAAGAAATTCAGTTGCTTTTATTAATATAAAAAAATGAATGACATCTCTCAATCATAAATTTATTTCAAAATATTCAAAACACCCAAATATTTTGGTAGATTGTAATACTCAGAAACAAACCTTATAAATTTTACTAATACTAAAAGAATATTGACATTCAATATATAAACAATATCTGGTGTTTAATACATTTTAGAACAAAAAGAACAGCTAAATCATCCCCCGTAGTATAGTTTTGAAGATTACCAATTCTCTAAAGCAGTATGTTACCTACAATATATTGGACAAATAATAATAATAATAATAATAATAATAATAATAATAATAATAATTCAGTTCTCCCTTGAATATTCTACAGCTTTTAAAAACCATTGTTATAAATTTAGTTGATGTTTAACTTTCATACAGTTACTTTCATATTTCAGTATAAGGTACGCTTTTTTTTCTATAAACTGCCTTGTGTAAAACATGAAGAACCCAAAATTTGGACACATACACATTGTCAATTTTTATGTGAAATAGACTAACTTTTATACGGAACAAAATAGGATTTTAAAATTTTGAGAAATGGTCCTATTTTCCTTAAGTATAGAACACTTATATTTTCTCAGTATGTTTTGTTTTTTTGACCACTTGTGACATTTCAAGGCAGCTTCCACAGAAGTTACTACCCTGAAGGATAAGCCTATTGACATGGACTGTCATTTTGCTTATTCTACAAAACAAAACAAAACAAAAATTCCAAAACTTTGTGAAATTATTAAAGACAGCAAAAAGTATTTTGTTTTGTATGTCCCTATTGATCTTTCTCCAAAGTGCATTTCCCAACTCTGAAATTTGAAAATAATGGCAAACTTGCCTTCAGAACTAGAAACGGTTTTAGAACTGGAAGGAAGTATTTTAGTAAAGACCTATAAAACTGGGGCAATTTGATTCATTCACAAAGTTCAAACTGCTACTCCAAGATTTCTTGTGAATTTTCTACCTCAATTCAAATTTTATATATATATATATATATGTATATATATATATTCAAATATATATATTCAAATATATATATATATATTATTTGAATTGACACAAAAGTCCAGACACGTACTCTAACATATCTGTACATGTAAATTCTCTGTGTTTTACTGAACACTACAATCAATATGCCTCATTCTTTAGAAAGGAACATATGCTACACTTTTGTGAAGCTTCGGGCTTCATAAAGAAAGATGCTGCTATGTTTTCATGGTGAAAAGTGATTTTCTTTTTTAATAATAATATAATTTCAAATGGGTCAAATAAAAAAAATGAACAATTAGTAAAGGAGAAAAAATGCCTACAGACATGTAATCAGACAAAACAAAGATGGCCAAATGGAATAACAACTAAGCCAAATGGATACATGCTCCTATTCACCACATTAATGTATTTGTTATCCTCTAAGTATTTTGTAATAAAAAGACATAGTTCTATATTTCGTTATATATTATGCTTCATTTAAAAAATTATTTTCTTACCAATACTTTAAAAATAACATTAAAATGAACAAAATGAAAGAGTATCAAATAAATTAAAATACTTTCATAAGGTATAAATATAAAACATTTTTCTTTTGTCTACCTTTTTGTAAAAAAAAAAGTTGAAACTTTAACAAAATGTCTCAAGTATGTGTAAAAAGAAACATTTTAAAGGTTGATAGTAAAGTATCAAACTATTTTAAAAAGTATACTTCCTCTCACATGACTCTGTCCCTAGAAATAGAATTTATAGGAAACTCTAGAATGCCAAGAGAAAAAGAATTACTTCTCCCCAAAAACAAGCCCCCATAACTGGTTATCAGATACCAAGTTGTCAGCCCTCAAATCAGATACATATGAAAAAAAACACTAAATAGACTTGGAAGACAGTATTTGTGCATATATTATATGCATATGTAAATGCATGTATGTATGAATATATATAAAATATTCAAAGAAAGGAATGTCATAGATCTGAAATTGATGTGGGAGGGCAGATAGAGGACTTGGAATGAATGATGAGAAGGAACAGAATGACAATTATAATTTAAGTATAAAAATAAAATATATTGAAAATATACATATATATAATTATATAATTTCTCCTCATCCCTCTCTACCTTTTCGTCCTTTCCCTAGCCAGCCCAGCTCCCCCTCCTTTTACTCTGTTTTTACACATACATATGTACTAATAGATTTAAAGTATATATGCTAATATATGATATCAAATAGAACAAAAATAGTGAATTGCCCTTTATAAGAGAGTTCCTTATTTTCTGATTCTTTAGAAAAACAAATATATATGAATGGACATTCTCAAATAAGCTGTCATACTGGGAACTCTTTAGAAATTCAGTAATATAATTTTAATATCATCTGTTCTTACAGTTTCTATGGGAATATATTGACTCATACAAACTAGATAGAAGAACCATGAAAATCCAATTATCAGAATTAAGAATATGAATCTTCTTTCTGCGAAAAAAGATCTGTTTGTCTTTTGACACTGGTGTAATTTCACCTCAACATTTAAAAAGAATTTGAGAATAAGCAGGTGCAGACATGCATGCCTGTAATCCCCGTGTGTGGTAGATAAAGGCTGGATGACCAGGATCAAATAGTGAGTTTATAGTCAATCTAGGCTACATGAGACACTGTCTCAAAAACAAAAGCAAAGTATTTAAGTACATGACTTCGAGAATAATTCATACAAAATATAACTTATTGTTACCTGCCAGGCAGCCAATGAATGAAAGTAGGATCAACTGTTTCCATGACAACATCATCTTTAATTGCCAAAAGCAAGAGTAACTCTTGTCTAGTCTCTGATGAATAGAATGCTTTGTCTTCAGATAAATCCTTTAATCTGCAAAATATATGTAAAAGAATTTAGACTTTTTAAAAACCAGTTCCTTTTAAAGATTTTCTTGTTTCTTTTAAACTTTTCATAATTCACAGAAATTCACATCCTTAAATTTTAAAAAAAATCTTTTTCTGTTATTCAAAAATGCAGAATGTTCAAAATGCAGACACTTAAACACTGTATGCAACTGACAGAAGGATGCAGGCAGTTTATATAATTTAAAAACTCACCACTGATAAAATATTAACTATTAACACATTAAATTTTAAAATTTCTGCTAGATAATTGCAACAAATAAAATATTAACCCGAAATCAAATTTTTTTTCATTTTATCTAATGGTAACATTTTAGTAATACTAAAGAAGATAAAGAAGCAATCTTAAAACAAAGATTGTCCAAATTTCTGAATCTATAACCAGGCATACAAATAAGTACAAAGTCTAAGTCAAAGTCTATTTTTAAGCATATTTTTGTTATCAGTGACAAGACAAAAAGGTTCCTGGTGTATGTGTGTGTGTGTGTGTGTGTGTGTGTGAGAGAGAGAGAGAGAGAGACAGAGAGAGAGAGAGAGACAACATATGTAAAATATTAATGCAGCAGATTGTTCCATCTTGTAACTGTACTACACTTTGGCCCTCTTGATCCTTCTGTAACAAGGATGTACTTGTGGGAAAGTAATTATCTGAAAGCCCTGTGTTAATTTGAGTGGCCCTATAAAACTAAGATCCCATGTTAATGATGAATAGCTAAGATACCCATAACTAAAATCAGACAACCTTCTACCAAGGAACTCAGAAACTCAACTTGTCCCAAGTTGCAAAACAGATATCTTTAGAGTCTGCCATTTTAACAAAGAAGTGAACAACTCCAATTTTGCTCCTCCTCGCTGGGTTGTTTTAGCTATCACTCAGAGAAACAAAGCCCAGGTTCCTTTCTACAGTGGCTATCAACAATCATTTCAAGGGTGTATGCCACGCAATCATATGCACATATGTTATTATGTATAATATTACATAATTATTGATAATTTTTTCATCTCATTCTGTAAGACTCTTTACATAAGTTGCTTATCTCTAATCATCATCGTTTTGTTAAAGTAGGCTGCTGATTTTATAAATAATGAAGGCAATTAATAAAATCATGACTAGATTTTGCAAACTGCCAAGTATTGTCATGGAAAGAAGAGAGACACAGTACCACTCATCCCAGTTCTAAAATAACAAAGCTAAAATAAGTACAAAAGAAGTTACTGAGGCAAGACAAGTGCAAATACCAAAAAAAAAAAAAAAAAAAAAAATGCCACCTGCTACAATGAGAACAGTCTACTTTTTACAGGATTACAGGAATCTTTTAAAACAAAGGCAAAAAACAGATAACCTTCAGAATTGTCCATGCTAGCAGTCATTTGCATTGGGAGGATAAAGCTTAATATATTTACAAAACATACCCCATAATAGTCTTTAAATAGCCCCCAAATTTAATAGACATTGACAAATGTAATTGTTAATGTCAGCTGAACTAAAAAAAATGCTACCCTTTGCACTTGAAATTCCTTTAAATAGTTGTTCCTGGTTGAGCTAAAAGGAGAAAGACACATTTGTGGTTTTGTCATCCACTTTACAAAATTGCTACCAAGACTGTGAATCATGAAATATTGATACATATTATTTCAAATGTAAACAGACAATTTTGACTGTTGTCTTGAAAAATGCTCAGAGTTCATCCTCTTCAGAATGGAAGCAGTGAGACTTCTTTTCTACTACAGTAATAAATACCTCATATCTTTGGGTGCAAAGATAAGCAGCAGCAATTTTTTGTAAAAGAACTACATAACCTCATTAACTTGTACATTCACAAATAGGCAACTTCAAGCTTCCAGACTCAAATTCCATCAGTTTGCTCCTTCAAACTCCTCTCTCTCTCTCTCTCTCCCTCTTTTCCCCTCACTTTGTATGTACACACACACACACACACACACACACACACACCTTTGAGAAAGCTTGAGATATTTATTTCAGTAAATTATATAAGCATTATTTTTAAAAACTGATTCCTATGAGAAATAGTTGCATGGTGAAGGCTTTGGAGTGTACATCTGTTCCTTCTCTTAGAACTTAATCACAGAATTATGAAATCAACTACTTAAGATTTCACTTTATTGATATAATCAATAATAATAATAATGATCACAAATCATACTAGGTTAGAAATCAAACATCCTGAATCCACTATGCTCTCATTCATCATCATCATTACCGTCAACATCATCATCATTATCACAACCACCATCATTATCCATTCCTTCATTTGTAATTTGCACATCATCCAGAAATAGTTGGACCAACCAGTCTGCATACTAACTTTGACTTCATGCTGGAACCAGCCTGTTTGGTAAAAGGACATGTAAAAAGCACTGTGCTACAAGTCCAAGGTGACTCACAAATTCCCTCATGATCATGCAATTTGGAACCAGAATGTTCCCTTTTTTATGTGAACTTTGACACCAGCAGTTTTGTATTTAGAGTAACACAGATCATAACTAAGGCAAATGACAATGAAAGTCATCTTCTCTGGAGGACAGATGTGTCAAAAGCTTCCCTCCTTTGATCCTTTGTCACTCTCAGCACTGTTGATGGTACTTATTTTAAAATCTTTGGGATTTATTATGAACTAGATTGCAATTTGCAAAAACTGGGATTTACAATTTTTGTACACTAGTATTCCCATTTCGGCACTAGCCAATTAGAGATACATTCCCACAATTCAACCAATAATTTTCATCCTTTTTAATGCTATGACCCTTAAATATAGTTCCTCATGGTGTGATGACCCCAACCACAAAATTATTTTCATTGTTACTTCATAACTGTAGTTTTGCTACTGTTATTATTATAATGCAAGTATCTGATATGCAGGATATCTGATATGTAACCCCTATGAAAGGGTCATTCAACATTACCCCTCAAGGTATAATGATTCGGAGATTAAGAACTACTACACTAGACAAAAAGAATCTTAGCCAACTTTGTTCTCAGAATTCTTTTAACTTAAAATAATGTTTTATATACATATTTATGTGTCTATCTATGCATCTATGTACATTTCTGCATATTCAGAAATTTATTTTCTTTTTTATAGAAATTAATATAAATTAGAAAGGAAAAATAGAAATTTTAATAAATTGTAGCAAATCTGAATTTTGCCATTTATTCAAAGCAAATCTTATGAAAACAAAAAAGAACATTCCTGAGAAGTCTAGAACCAAAAGCTTACAACACATTAATTGGTTTAACATCCTGTGAGGCATGGCATTACTAGACTACTATTATGTTGGACTTTTTAGTCTTTTTGGCAATATCTACACATATAAAGTAGCAAAGAGAATCACATGTCACTCTGTGTATACTGGTTGGTGTGTCAGTTATAAAAACAAAATATATTGTCTGAATACTAAGTTGCCTTGCATTTATTTCAGAGCCTTTTTCACTTTGTCCTTACTTTAGAGTTTTCTGCTCTTGCAAAACCAATGTCAATGATAAAATGTCAGGGGGAAAATTGCAAAGACAATTTTTACAATGGGTTCTACTAGTTTCATTCAAGTATGATTTGAAAGAGAAGTGTGTCAAATTATGCCAGTCCATGACCTGTTTCAAAATATGAGCTAGAATGGCAATGCCTCTTGTGTCCACTTGCCAGTTTTACTTTATTTTTCCTGCTTTGTTCCAGCTCACTTGGCCATTTCCAGGGCATACTGCCCAGACCACAGGGACAACTTACACTGAAATGTGACTGTGACCCTAACTGCACGTTTCAAAGCTTTTGTTTTTATGCAAATCCAAGCTTCAATAAAGTTTTAAGAGTTTCAAGTAAATCTTCATCCTCCAAAAGCAACAACAATAATGTGTCTTCAAGAGAGCCAAACTTAAGGGACTCAGGTGATGGGAGATGTCATTCTGTAAATATGTTTCTCATACTGGTTAATGAATAAAGCACTGTTGGCCAATAGGAAAGCAAGACAGATGGGACTAGGAGACAAGGAGGAAAGAGGAAGTAGTAAGGAGAGTCAAGATGGAGAGACTGGGGAGTTGAGATGCCTGCCCCATTCACCGGTAAGATAAGACCACGTGGAAATATTAGATTAACAGAAATGGGCTAATACTTAAGACAGAGCTAGCCGATAAGAAACTAGTACCTGGTCAACAGCATTGTATCAAATACAGAGTCTTGGTGTGTTAATTGGGACTGGTGCAGTGGCGGGACAAGACCAGCAGTGGGAGGAAAAACCTTACTCCTTAAATTCGGGGATTTTTAGAAAAGGACCCACTTTTCTTTAAAAATTCAAAACAATACAAAAACAAAGTTGGCACTAATAGAATTTTGAAGACTAACTTCTAAATTTAATGATAGAAGGAAGATGAAAGATAAATTTTAATGTATTCAGTTTATTCATTTTTCCAAATTATGCAGCAGCATAACATTCCTGTCAATTTCCAAAATTATAAATGTTGTCTGTGGAAGCTTGATAAGTCCTGAGTGAATGTGTTTTGTTGATATGAGCATGATCATGTCAATGACTCCAAAGCTTCAGATCCATGGGAATGACAAGGACTTCCTCTGGTCAGGCAGAGATGTTGACATTGTGTATAGAAAGTACCAACCACAGGTTTCTTCACCCAGATAACTACATCCTGAGACCTCTCCCCTGTGAGATTCCCTATCTAGATCAGGTAATGTGCTTCCCCCATCAGCTGGATATAACAAATATGTTTGAATTTCCAGGATGCTGGAATACCTTTATTAGATTGCACAGCTCACCCAATCCCAGATATTTGCTGTTTATTCCCAGTTGCCTGAGTCAGGTTAATTTAAAAGCAGTTCAGGTCATGATTTTTGCTTCTTTCTCCCTTATCCAATGAAGAAGTACTCCTGACCTCATTCCATAGAATGAAGAATAATGTACTTTTTCTACATCTGTCCATAATATTTTGTGCTTACTTAG